ATGAAATATTATAATATGTGTTACTATATCATCAAGATTATTCACGGATTTCTAAAATCTTGATTACATTTAGTTGTTAAGATTCATAGATCGATTTTCAACTATGTTAAATTTCTATTTCTATATTAATTTTTTTTTTTTTTGCAAATTTGGTTAATGTACTATATGTTTATATAATGTCATCAAAGTAGCACATAATTCTATTTTTATTTTATTTTGTCAAAATATGTTGATCAGCAAGAAATAATTAATTTATCATTTTTGTCGTATATTTTTGAAAAATGCTCATGTTAAAAATGTAGTAAGATGCAGTATCGTGTTAGGTAAATGGAGTTCGTTGCCAGTAAATTTTTAGTTGATATTTTAATGATATTTTAATGTATACCCAGCTTTTAGGCGAACAAACTTAAGTAAAGTTCCTAATCTTGATATTTTTAGATTTATCTATTGGTCGTGATGATCGTTATCGCAGTCACAAGTCATGATTTTTATCTCAACTATACAATCAACTTTACAAATCGTTATTCTCCATTTCTCTGTTTAATAGCCACATAAGGTGTGAAAACTATTTTGGATAGTTTTTTTTCACAATTTTTTAATCAAAGTTGCTTTTTTGCATACTTCCGCATCAATTTTATCCGCCCATAATAATGTTTCTTATTTTCAATAATTGTTGCTCCCATCATTTTTTGGATGTAATCATCCCTCGGTGCATGCTTCTTAGATTTGGTATATATCAATCTTAATTTTCTTAGCTCTTTCATGATTGACCTGTTTAATATCAATCTTAGTATAATTTATTTGTTGCTCTGTACTTGTATTCATGCATCATTCTTGACTTAATTATGGTTTTATAAATTTACTGTCGAGTCTTCATGATTTTTTCTCATAGCATAGTACCCTTGTAGTACTTGATTTTGACTACCGATGTTTTAACCTTTGAAGTTTTGTTTTGTTTTAATTTCTGTTGCTGATTTGGTATTGTTAAACGAAAGAAATATGTATTTTTAGTAATCCATTATATACTTCCACATAGTTTAAGTTATAATATTAGTTTCTTTTTTTTGTTTAATATTTATTATTGATTCTTGTTAATTTTGATTTTGACCATCTTTCCAATGTAATCTTTCCATCAATTCATCATTCAATTATGCCATATTTAGGATTTTTGAACGAAACTTCCTAAAACCCTTTGAGAGATCATCAAAATTCTAGAAATCTATCAATGAGATCCCATCACATTTCATGAGTTGTGTAATCAAGGATTCAACAATCTAATCTAATCTGCCAGTTCGACTGGTTTTGGTGCGAATAAATTTTTTGCTGTTCAATCCAACAGTCAAACTAATTTGGATAAGAACTTGAAAAAATTGTGTAGAACCAGAGGTTGGATTATTTAACTGATGAACCCTCAGTTTGTTGATTCGCCTGGTTCTTTTCATGATCAAATCAGAAACTTAAAACCTTCCCTTGCTAATTGAAAATTTTATATTAATGTAAATAGTTTAAAATTGAAAATTTCTAAATAACAATAATGTCTAAACTAACTTACATTGTATTTATTTAATTAGGTACCGAGTACTTTTACATTTCAATACTTTTTTAGTTTTAGTGTTTTCTAATTGGAAATAGAAATTTTTATTTTATATTTAAATTTCAATTATGACCTAAGAAGAAAAGGCTAGTCATTTAAATATAGAAAAATTTAAAGGTAAGATATTTCATGGGCATGTTCTATTTTTCATGAAATCATTATTATTGATATTTATTTATTAATAAAGTAATTTTAACGGGATTTATTACATGTGACCACCCAAACCTTAAAATACAAAAGATTGGTACCCCAAACTTCAAATTTTACATTTAACCACCCAAAATTTTAAATATAACGGTTTGAGCACTCCTGTTTCAAGAGAAAATAAATTTGAGTGGTTGAAATGTTAGTTTTAAGTTTAGGCCAAAACAATATATTTAAAGTTTTGGCTGATCATGGATTAATCTCTTGTTAACATTTGGTTGAACCTTTCAAACTTTAACTCTTCATGCTATTTGGATTTCGGTCTGTTTTTCACAAAAATATTACATGCGGATGAGTTAAGTGTGGATTTGGTGGTATTTGATTATAGTATGGTGTGAATTCCACATGTAATATTCATGTCCGATTTTCAGTGTTTGTTGTAATAACTCAAATTTCAATCAGATGATTCTAGTTGTATAAAGGCTAAAAATTTTGAATAGATGATGTATTTATAAATAATAATATGCTCATTTTAACAGCCAAACTGGAGGCGGCCTAAAGGTATCGACTCCCGTGTGAGGAGAAAGTTCAAGGGATGCACTTTGATGCCCAACATCGGCTACGGCTCTGACAAGAAAACCCGCCATTATTTGCCCAACAAGTTCAAGAAATTTTTAGTTCACAATGTTTCCGAGCTAGAGTTGCTCATGATGCACAACAGGTTTAGAGCTAGACTCTCTAAATTAACACACTAAAAAAAAAAACTTGATATTCAATTATTAGAAGATTTGCATGTCATATGTATTTACATAGCTAAACCCTAAACATCAATTTTTACATGTATGCCGCCTTTCTTGTGCATGATAAGGTGTATTTAAAAGTTGGAAGAATTGGATTTTTATGTGATATAAAGATTTGGGTGGTATAATGCAAGAAGCAAAGTTTAGGTGTTAGCATGTAAATGCATCGGAATTAAGTGGTATCTCTGTAAATGTCACTTTATTATTTGTAGGGACATTTTATATACATACCACACAATTATTTATTTACATATATAACACCTAAATATTCATATTTACAAGCATACCATTCGTATCTTTAACATCACATCAAAAATACCCACCATCACAGTCTTTTTAAAAAGTGAACTAAACCCTTTCATGCAAGAGTGTAAATATCAAACTTTGGGGTTTAAATATGTAAATAAATAATAATTGTGTGGTGGTATGTATGTTGTGTAAATTTCTCTTATTTATGTTGCTGTTTTTAATTCATGTATGTTGTCAGGACCTACTGTGCGGAGATTGCACACAATGTTTCAACCAGGAAACGAAAGGATATTGTGGAGCGAGCAGCACAGCTTGATATTGTGGTCACCAACAAGCTTGCCAGGCTACGCAGCCAGGAAGATGAGTAGTGTGATTCAGCCTTTGCTTTCCTCATCTTTTTTCCCCTTATTGTTATATGTTGAATTGTTTTCTTGCATGGCAGTAAGTTTGTTTGTTTTTTTAATAGCTGTATTTGTACTTTTGAATTTTGTATTCTGTTGAGCCGGAATTGTTTTGAATTATTCTATGTTTTTTTTGCTGATTTGTCCAACTAAAATCAATATTTAGATTAAAAACCTATGCTTTGGCCTGCTTGAATTTAAAAAATATGGCATTTTAAGTTGTTTTTATATGTTGGATATTTAGATACATAAAAAATTGATGTGATTGGTAGCTTCTTATGGGCTTCTGTGTGAGTTTTAAATGAAATTGTCTGCGTACATAAATAAGTCGAAGGTGTTCAAATCTACTTATTTAACAATTGAGCAATTATAAGAGTATTTAAATTTGTTCAATTACTTAATCAAATGAATATGAATGAATTCTTATTGAGCCAGAATGATAAGTAGATCGGGTTCATTTATAGAACACATAACTGTTGATAAGAAATGATGGCATTGGCCGTTAACTCCTTCAAAAAAAATTATTAAATTCATGGCGCAATGAGATATAAAAATTTTTGCACCTTTTTTTTAATTAGGATAAATCAATAATATAATATAACTATTATTTTTTTTTCATAATCTATCTTCTTCTAGGCATGGTGGGTATCCACCAACATTGTTATAATTGATGTTGGATGAAAAAAAATATTACCTCAGGAGTACTGATGCACAGGACTTCAATTGGGAGGTGTCACGTGGCATTATGCTGGGATCATTGCATATGTGGCATCTTCCCATTGGAGTACTGATACATCAGTACTCTTGAGATAATATTTTTTCGTTGGATGGGAGTTGTTTTGATATTGTCATTTCTCAAATTATTATTATTTTAACTCAATTGATAAAAAATAACTCACAAAAAATGTGTATGATGAATTTTTGTATAGATGAGATAAAATTGAAGATAATATTTGGGGTAGCTTTCTCACTGCAAATAATTCGTAAAATATTTTGTCTTGCTACGTGCCCCACTTGGAACAATGAATGGGCAAATAAAAGCTCCTTATATTTAGAAAATTAATCAGTGGTTGTCTTTGTCCTCCAGCCTTCGTGTACATAATGTTATCGAGTCGAGTATATCATGAATTGAACCTTGCTAGCTTGGTTATATTACAAGTTAATGTTTGGCTCGAGCTCAAGTTGAAGTTTCACGTGCATATACATTCTTGATATGTTTGAATATTTGGATGGTCATGTTTAACATGTACCTGACCTGTTTATATGAATTAATTAAGTATTCCATATAAACAAATAAAATTTTAACAAATGATTTTATAAATCTAAACAAATAAACAAAAAAATGAATTTTGAATTTATATCTAGTTAGTTTAATCCAATTAAATAAGGTAATACATATGTCATAAGTAAATTTTCTTGAATCATTAAAATATAAATAAAAACCATCAAGCTATGTCACATGCACATTAAAATTAAATTATAATATTTTGCTATCAACAATATATAATCAACTTCAAATTAATCAGATTTTATTCAAGTATATATAAGAAGAATGCTTAAGGCTTTTGATTGCTTGTCGTTAGTAAGATTTAGTAAACCCGGATTTATTAGATCCGGCCTCCTTGCTGGATTTATTAAATCAAGATTTAACATGAATGGGAGGCAAAATTCGGACATTAAATCCAAAATTTCATAAATTCAATTCATTGAATGAAATTTTGAACATTTGAAAATTTTACCAACAAGATTAGAAGTATAGAAAACATAAATGATGAGTACATATTTTTCAAAAAAGCATAGACAACTCAAAAATGCACAAACATTATTTGCACTTTCTATTATGACCCCAATATAAATCTTAAGAACAACATACTCTTAAAGTCTGCCAAAACCTCCACTTTATTATAAAGAAAACATACAAATATTAAAAGAAAATAAAACAGGTGTAATAAAGAAGCTAGAGCTGTTCAGCCGCGTAGCTGGGCATCTTTGCTAGTCAGTGGAACATATCTTACAGATGTTTCAATATGAGTGCTGATAGATCCATCAAGTTTTTTATCAATAACTTTGAGATCCTGGAATATGGTACCAACTGGAATAACCATTCGGCCGCCTGGCTTTAGCTGCTCAACGAGTGCGTCGGGAATTTCAGCGGCCGCCGCACCAACATGTATGGCATCATATGGTGCAAGCTCTGCCCAACCAAGCCGCCCGTCTGCAATCGGGCGATCGATTAGTTGAGAATTTAGCTCAAGCGAAGAATTACAATATTAGTATGTGTTGAGTTCGGCGGCTTAATTTGCGCCCTACAAAGGTGTGCCCGGAGATCTCCACCCTTGGGAGTCAAGGAAGGGGAAAAATTTAATGTCGGGACTCCGGACGTAGCTCTACGTGCGGACTCCAATAATATGCCGTGTGCTGCATCGTGGAGGTTATTTCGGGGTTATTGAAGAGAAGCTCATATATTTCACTTCAATAACCCCGAAATAACACCGCAGAGGTTATTCTGGGGTTCTTTCGGGATTATTTCGGGGTTATTGCAGAGTCTGTGGTTTCAATTTAATATTTTTTTAGGTGGGCTCAATATAGCACACATGGCGGTATATTTCTGACAGTCCGCACGAAGAGCTACGTCCGAAGTCCACATAAAAATTTTTTATCTAGGAAGGCCCTTAAAAAGTGTCCTAATGACATCAAAACCTATGCATGAAAATGCACATTTCACTTCACAAAAAAAAAACTACTAATAGCGATATTTTTTTATGTGATGATAAAGATTTAAGTATTATACATGTAGATGTCAAAATTTAGGTGGTAGATATGTAAATGCATACGAAATATGTTGTATGCATGTAGATCTGCTATTACTTTATCAAAACGATTTAAAATTTTCATTGCATTTCTCACTTGCTCTAAATTTTCGCAGAAGTTCCAGCATGTAATTTTTCACAATGGAAGTTCAAAGAAATGCGATGTAGCCATTAGTTGAGTGAATTTTATAAAATTCTTTAGTGGTTTTGAAGAATGATCTTTATTACTGTTTCCTAAGTTTATTTGCTTCTGTGTTTACATAGGCTCCACTGATTTTCCAACAGAAAAAGTCGCTTAAGCAGGGTTTATATAGAGCCCCTATCATTCTCCTAAATTTACCACCTATAATGCAGATAATGTCATTTTCTCCTAAGCTTTTGTGCAATATTACAGATTCAGCTGGTGCATACATTGCATTAATTTAGATGTTGCTTGACAGTTTGAGTTGATCAGTTTTCCTTCTTTGATTTTTTACCAAATTGCATTTAATTTGAATAAGCTTTGAGTCTGAAGTAAGTTCAAATTGGCAACATATAGAATAGTTGCTATAATATTATAATGTATCTTTCACACTATTATATCTTCGCATCAAACTTAAGTTGAATTCCCTCATTAAAGCAGAAAATCGTCCATCACCTTGAGCATTCATCGTCTCAATAATTACCTTATTTTCTCTTTATACACCCTTCACCTTTAGTGCAAACAACAGAAGTGCTGCACTCACCTTTAGCATAAGTGTTGTATTTATGGTTTTTATTATAATTAGGGGTAATTTAGTCTTTTGACTTCATTTACCAAGTATGCCATAATCCTCCTCCATAAAAGGGATTTAGGATTCATGAGAGAGGTAAGGTGAGAAGTGTAGAATTGTAACGTCAAGCCATTTTTCTTTCTCCCATCCGGTCCTAGTAGATCCCCCTCCATGTGGACGCGGGTTAATCAATTCAACGCCGAACCACGAAAATCTTTTATGTTTGACTGTTGTTGTGCGAATTATTTCGTTTACGCATAACAATTGGTATAAGAGTTTCGGGTTCGTGATCGGAGTGTGGTTCTACTTCGACAACAGCAAATCTAGCGTGTGTTGTTGGCATTTTTTGCTACAGATGGTCCAACGTACTTTGCTAGCAGATTCAGAGATTCAACAACGAACCGGCGATAGACCAATGGCTCAGACGCAAAGATTTAGCGCGGTAGCAAGGATCACAATAAGAGCATCAATGTGATTGCAATGTGTAGCGTCTGCGAAAAAACAAACAGGGAATACTATGATAGTTATGACAGCGACAAACAGCAATTTCAGCGGTGACCGGTGGTGTTTAAGGAGGTTTTGACCGTGACAAGAGCGGTCCAATTGGTCTGGAGTCCAACCAAAAAAATTCATGGAACAGAAAAAAAAAAAGAAACCTATTTAAAAAAAGGAAGATGGAATTTCAAGAAAAAAGGGGGAATTTCATAAATAGAAAAAAAAAAAGTAAAAAAAGAAATTTTTTTTAATAAAAAATTTATTTTATTTTTTCTTTCAGGTGAATTTTTTTGTTTTTTCGGGTTTCCAAAATAAGAGGAAAGAATATCTGTGCAATATTTTATTCTTATAGGGAATATTTTTTAAAAAAAATTCTAACAGTGATAAGAATGAATGATAACACGATGTACGATTCTTTAATATCCACTATGACGATGAAAAACTTGATTCATCAGGAGACCAAAATTTTACGACAAAGAAAACTTTGGCATGTGACAATGTGTGATGATGGATGGGCCGCATTCTTTGAATCTGGAGAAAGGCTTGGATAGCGATGAATGTCTTGTAGAGATGTCAAAGATATTAGTGAAGATAAACCAGAGTGATTGCAGTTTAATCCGAAATTGTTGACTTACGAGATCAAATATTGAGTGATGATGGAGACTTCTGCGGGGAAATTGTGGAGAATGCTGGTGAACAAAATCTCACAAAGAGCATGGAGAATCGTCTTCTTATGAATCGTCGACTTTAGAAATTTCAAATGAGACAGGGGTTATTATTGATGAGTACTTGAATAATTTCACAATGTTGTTAGCAGGTATGTAAATTCAGATGAAAATGTTGGAGATAAAGACAAGACAATACTTACGTCGAATTCGCTCCCAGATGAATACGAAAACTTCACGATGACACTTATTCACGGGAACGAGGTCTTAAATTATGACGAAGTAACTACGACGCTATTGAATCACGAGTTCCATTGAAGTGACAATGAGTCCGCAAAGATGAAGTCACCTGAGAATTAGAAGAAGAATTCGACAAAAAAATTGACAACGACGACACTTCTCAAAAGCAGGGCAAGTCACGTGGGCGCAGTCTAGGAAAAAATCAGTATGTTTTCTATTTAGAGACTAATCATTGGAAGAAAGATTGCCTGAACCTGAAGGAAAAGGAAAAGAAAGTTGCACCTGATCAAAGAGACACCGTTATTGTGGAAAGATGTGAAGAAACGGATTCAAATATATCGTTATTTATAGTTTCTCACAGTTTATTTATAGATTATTTGTACTGGATTTTGGACACAGGTGCTGTCTTTCACATTTATTTTCATCGAAGGTGGTTTTGTACGTATAAGAGTTGGATAGCGATGCAGTGATTATAGGCAACGATCAAGTTTGTCGTACTATTGAATAGGTAGCATCTTTATTAGGACACTTAATAGTACTGCAAGAGAGCTGACTAATGTTAAACATGCTATATATATCAAGAAGAATTTGTTGTCAGTTGGGCTTTAGAGTCCAAGGGTTACAAGGTAGTTATTGAAGCAAAAATTATGAAGATATGTCAAAAAACGTTGGTTTTTATGAAGGGAGTTTATCATCACAACATTTACTTTCTTCAGCGTAGTACAGTGATTGAAACGGTTTTTTTTTTTATGATGATTTTTGTGATGCCACTACGTTATGACATGTGTTTATCTCAAGCTGGTGATGCTTCACTTCAGACTTTTTGTGAAACACAAATTGATTAAGGAGCGAGCATCTACAAGCTTGATTTTTGTGAATATTGTATATTCGAAAAAAAAACAATTTTATTTTTTGGTAGTGTCATCCACAATATAAAATGTATTTTAAAGTATGTTCACATAGATGTTTGGGGTCCTACTAAGACGACAACATTCAACAGACGAAGAAATAGTCTCTTTTATTAATGATTACTCAATGAATGTTAGGTGTACACCAAGAAGTGCAACTACAAGGTGTTGAAGATTTTCACAACTTGGAAAAAGTGGATTGAGACTCAGACTAGTAAAAAGATCTGGAGTATATGATCAAACATTGGTGGAGAACGCATTTCAAATGCGTTCTTGTAATAGTGTCGGGGAGTTGGGATAGAGTATCACGTCAATGTTTGAGAGACACCACAACAAAACAGGATGACAGAGAAGATGAAATGGAATTTGGTGGAGAAAGCTCGGTGTATGTTATCCAATTCTGGGTTGAATAGAGTTTATTGGGTCGAAGCCATAGACTATGCATGTCACTTGGCGAATTGTCTACCTTCAGCACCTATTGGGAAGAAAATCCCAAAGGAGATGCGATCAGGACATCCTGCTAGAGATTATGAGCACATGAGAGTATTTGGGTGTTGAGCTTGCTACCACGTGCAAAATATTAAATTAGAATAAACAAAAAAGCTTATTTTCATTGGCTTCAGGCGTGGAGTCAAGGGCTTCAAGTTGTATGATCAGTCAGAAAGAAAGGTTGTCATCAGCAAGAGTTGTTATGTTGACAAATCGAGACTCAAGCAGGCGGAGAGTTCTACTGGGATCACAAATATGCAGCAGAAGTTGAAGTTTGATGCAATTTCATTTGTTCCACAGAGTTCATCCACTCCGACTCTGATACCTGATTCAGTTGCAACTCGAGAGGTATCTATTGATAGTACTCGGGAGGAGGTAAAATAAAATGTTGAGGATGACACTCGTGCTAAAAAATCTATTGCTAGGAGCAGGATTAGGCGCCATAATGTCCTAAATCCAGCTTGGTTGAGGAATCACATTGCATTTGCACTTTCAGCTACAGAGACAGAAATAACTTATCACTACAAAGAAACGATGCATAGTCCAAACTGTGATCTTTAGAGAGCGACAATAGTTGAAGAGATGGAGTCTCTTCGAAAGAATGGTACTTAGAGGTTGGTGAAACTTCCTCCGCGAAGGAAAGCCATGGTTGCAAATGGGTGTATGCAAATAAAAAAAGATCTCATGGAGCTATTGTAAGATACAAGACAAAATTAGTGGCAAAAGGCTTTGCACAACGAGAATGAATTAATTATAATAATGAGTTTTCTCCAGTGGTCAAGCATCCCTCAATATGTGTTATCTTAGCACTTATAGTACAGTAAGAACTGATCTTGGAACAACTTGATGTGAAGATTGTTATACACGGGGAATTACAAAAAATTTATATGTTGCAGCCACCTAGATATGGAGCATCAAAAGTCTTGGTTTAAAAACTGGGCAAGCCTTTCTATGGGTTGAAGCAGTCACCACGACAGTGGTATAAATAACTTTATCAGTTCATGAGGGGACTGGAGTACAAGAGTAGTCAGCATGATCATTGTGCATATTTCAAGAAGTTGGCCAACGATGAGTTTATTCGCTTGATTCTACATGATGATATGTTGATTGCATCTGCTAGTCAAATTGAGGTTGATAGGATGAAAAATCAACAGACTAAACATTTTGAAACAAGAGTTGTGTAAAAAGCTTGCAAAATTCTTGGCATTGAGATTTTCAGGGACAAGACAACTGGAAAGATTTGACTTTCGCAAAGAGCTTATGTGCGGAAGGTGTTGAATAAATTTGGGGTTGATGACTCGAGCAAAACGATGAGACTACCAATTGAATCTCACTTTCAGTTAAGTTAAAATCAGTGTCCTAAAAATGACATAAGTTCCTTATGCTAGTGCAGTGGACAGTCTAATGTATTTCATGGTTTGTACTAGATTAAACATTGCACAAGCAGTTGGTGTTGTGAGCAAGATCACACATAATCCAAAAAGGAAACATTAACAGACTGTGAAGAGTATTTTGAGGTATTTGAAGAGTACAATTGATGTTGACTTGGTGTTTGAGAGACGATCATCTATTACAGATTTGTGTGTAGGTTATATCAACTCAAACTATGCAGGTGATATGAATAGTTGGAGATCTACGACTGTCTATTTATTCACATTGGCAGAAGGTCCAATCAGTTGAAGACATGTTCTTTCGCCTACTGTTGTGTTGTCTACTACGGAGGCTGAGTACATGACAATCACAGAGGCGATGTAGGAAGTGATATAGATGCAAAACCTATTGGATGACTTGAGAGTTGATCAGGAATCTCTGGCGGTGTTTTGTTACAATCAGAGTGCAATGGTCGTGGCCACAAATCCAGTTTATCATGCTGGTACCAAGCACATTAATGTGAAGTATCACTTTGTTCGGGACTTGATTGATGATGATAATATTTTATAAAAGAAGGTAGATACAAAGGAGAATCCAACGGACATGCTCACGAAAGTACTACCAGTCCAGAAGTTCACCTACTACGGACCTGTAAACATCTGAGCTAAGGACTAATTGCATAATCAGACATTTTGAAGAACTATGCGAGGTTTGATCCCTTCGGGTGAAGAGATGTGCAAGCAACCATCTTGGTGTAGTTGAATTGGAGTTTAGAGCTCATTTGGTCATCTCTCACTTATCTAGAAGTAAGAGATGAGATAGAGATTGTTGTATTTATGATTTTTATTGTAATTAGAGATAATTTGGTCTTTTTGCTTAATTTACTTGTATGCTATAATTCTTTTCTATAAAAGGAACTTAGGGTTCATGAAAGAGGTGTGGTGAAAAGTGTAAAAGTTGTAACCTCAAGCCATTTTTCTCTCCCCATACAGTGCTAGTGGTTTTTCCCTCCCTGTGGACGTAGACGAATCAATTCAACGATGAACCATGTAAATCTTTTGCTTTTTATTGTTGTTCGGTAAATTTCTTCATTTCCGCATTTTTTTGCATATCAATAAGGTCTCTCATTGATACTCTAATATTTTATAGGCCTCAATCAACACGCAAATTAATTATAATACAATGCCCTTTTATATAGTTCTTAATGACAAATATTGAAGCTGAAACTTGAATTTTTTGGAAAAAAATGGATTTACATGCATACCACTTAATTCCTACGTATCTACATATCTAAAACCTAAATTTTAATTTGTACATATACATCACCTTTCCTATGCATGAAAAAAGGTATTTCACTTTCTTAAAAGTTAGAATACTGATATTTTTTATCTGATGTGAAAGATTTGGGTTGTATAAACGCAAAAAGTAAAGTTTAGATGTTTGATACATAAGTACATAGGAATTGGGTGGATATGGAAGAATTCTACATGCCGTGTGCTATCAGTTCGTGTAATATGCATAATAAATGCAGAAGCTGTGAATAAAATTTGATGAAAAAAGGTGAAATTACCAGAAATATGCACCGATAGTGATCCTTCCAGTAATGAAGATGCTGCACTTTTTTTTATGTTCTCAATTGAAAAAGAAACAAGCTCTGGAATATGCTCAACACCTACTGCGCGTCCTTGAGGTCCAACCATGATTGCAAAGCAAGCTGTTAAGTACCCAGTTCCTGTACATGCCATAAGAAAAATAAGCTTCTTTTAAATCTAAGTTTAACTAAACTACCAATTACAGTTGAACATTGCAATTTTTATAAAACTAATGTAAAAGAACAAATGTCTTGAGCAAATAATGGAGAATTCGTTTGATGTGTTGCTTTTCAAAAAGCAGTTTAGTTTTCAATCAAAAGCATCGAGATCCCTTAACCAGTATGTGCACTCCTCCACAACTCCACGAACATGGAGAACAATATCGTGGAGCAGCTTCTCCATGTAAGAGTAAGAACATATTTTCCTAATATATCTAATCTTAAATATGGAAAGGAGAAAATTCTGAAATAAAATAAAAGAAACATAAATGCCAAGTAGGGTTCTTGGATTCAAAACGCATCTTAATATTTTGAAAATAACATTATGTTAGAGCATTCTCATGCAATCTTCTTCTAAAAATATTTGATTGCCTCTTTTGTCCACATTTGCCAACCAAACCGCACAAAACTTGACCCGAAATTCATCAAGTGTATTTTCTTTGAGTATACCTCCAACAAAAAGGGGCATAAGTGTTATTCTCCTGTGCCAAAAAACTACTACAACTTCATGAATGTTATATTTTTTTAAAATCAATCCTACTATCTCAAATATAATATCCAGGGGAAAAGTGCAAATGAACATCAATTTTGGGATGCATTTGATGACATCTACAAGGCAAACCCATCTGCTCCTCTTCTTACTCTTCTAACTTACCCTCCTACTTATTAAGGATATCCAACCAATTCAACCTGAAACCCACAAAAAAGAACTTCGTGTGTACGCTAGGAGGAAGAAATATCTTGAGCAAGTGAAAGACAACTTGCAAAAACATAATTGCTCCAATCAAAACCCGAGTTCACATTTACCCGAAATTTTGAGTGAGGAGTCTAGAACTCATGAGTTATCCCTTTCTCCTTTTGGTGTTGATGACGAGGAAAGCGGTAATAGATACCCAATTCAAGAATATATAGCTTATGGGAATTATCCTCAGCTTATAGAGCATTTATATCTAACTTTGATAGTGTGCAATCATTCATGAAGCTCTTGAAAATCAAGAATGGAGAAAAGTAGTTGAAGAGAAGATTCGAACACTACAATATAATGGCACATGATTTCTTATTAAACTCACTCAAAATAAGAAGACTGTTGTATGCAAAAGGGTGTTCAACATAAAATACAAAATTTATGAGAGTATTGAGAGATTCAAAGACAGACTTGTTGCAAAAGATTTCACACAAGCATATGAGATTGACCATCAAGAGATTTGCACGAATTATCAAATTGAATATTATCAGAGCTCTTTCAGTAACAAATAACAAGGAATGAAGAATGTATCAAATTAACATAAAAAATATTTTCTTGAATGGAGATCTAGAAGAAGAAGTGTACATGGGAATACCATCAAGACTTGAGAATTATTCTAACAAACACCTAGTATGCAAACTAAGGAATCAGTAAGAGCGTGATTTAAAAGATTTTTTAAAACTATAAAATCTAATGAATATTCTTAAGGTCAAGCGATCACACTTTTATAAAATACAATCAGGGAGATAAGATTGTTGCAATGATTGTATATATAGATGATATAATTCTTAATAGTGATGATGAAAGAAAGATTATTAAAATAAACAAAGTGTTTGAAATCAAAGACTCAGGAACATGAGATATTTTCTAGGTATTAAGATAGCAAAGTCCAAGAAAGAATTTGTTATATCACAGAGGAAATACATCCTAGATCTAGTAAAGAAAATAAAGATGGATGGATACAAAGCAGCTGATACTCCAATAGAACCCAACAAGAAGTTTAATAGGGAAGAAGAAAGTATACATGTGGATAAGAGAAGATATCAAAGATTGGAGAGAAAACTCATCTATCTATCACATAATGAGTCAAATATTGCATATTTTATCAGTATTGTGAGTCAACACATGAATAGTCCAATGAAGAGCATTTAAAGATGGTTTATGGGATTCTAAGATTTCTAAAAAAGGCTCTTGATTATGAATTAATTTTTTAAAAAACTATAAATAGAAAAGTGGAACTTTACATTGATGTTAGCTGGGTGGAAGAACACATTCATAGAAGGTTCGCCACAGGTTATTGCTCATATATAAGAGGAAATCTAGTTACATAGAGAAGTAAGAAGCAAGTTGTTGTTTCAAGAAGCAGTATAGAATCAAAATAGATGGCACTTGCCTTGGAAATCTGTGAAGGGATTTTGAATCAAAAATTATTCAAGGAAATCGGGATGTTCTTTCAATAAGCCTATATAGATGTTCTGGGATAGTCAAGCAACTATCAATATTGCCAAAAAATTTGTGCATCATGACATGACCGCATATTAAAGATGATAGACACTTCATCTCTGAAAAGATCAATGGAGAATTATATAGCTAAGCTACATCTTGACACGCCAACAAGTTGATGATGTCTTCACCAAAGACTTCTCAGAATTCAATACCAAGTTCGATCTCTACAAGATTTACAACCCAACTTGAGGGGGAGTGTGGAAATCTGAGAAGATTTGAATCTTTTCATATTTACCTTTCTCATATGAGTCATTCACCGCCTCCATATCTTGGAAGATTTGATTGAGATATCTTATGAAACATTTGGCTCATTGCTTTCCTATTTTATGTTTTTCTATTTTTTATTCAGAATTATTTCCATTCCTAATTTAGGTGATATGTGTTTGGCAAATTTATAAATAAGGAGAGATTGATTTCCCTATATATATGTACCTTATTTGTGAATAATTAAAAAGAAAGATTTTTCCTCCCAAATTAAGTTCTACACTCATGGATAGCAACTGAATTAGGATAAGATCAAGGGTAGTTGATCTAGTTTCAAAGGAATTCATACCCTTGAGCTCAGTCTGCTGGAACCAAGAGAGGATAGATTGGTGCATTCATCCCATTTTCGGTAGATTTTTATTTGAATTTGAAGTTCTAGGTGATCCCTAAATTTTAAGCTACGGTATTGGGCAGTCTTTGTAACTAGGAAGAACTTATCTAGAATCTAGAAAGTTATCAAGACTTTCAAACTTTAAGAATATATTCTCTCCTTGATTAGTATAAGTTAATTTAGACTTCAAAATTTTAAGGAGATCTTATTTCCTTCATTCTTACATTTAAATGGCAATTTTTAATGGATAGACTTTAGGCTTTAATACAAATATCAGAATTTATTTCAAAATGAAATGGAAAATAACTTTTCATATCAACAAAAATGCTCAACCAAAGTAGTATTTTATCATTGAATACAAATTTTTTAGTAGAAGACAAACAAAATTAAGAAATATGTTGTGTAAACTTATAAACTCGAAGCTTCAAATTTTTGAAGGTAAAGCTAAATTTCCAAAAGAAATAAATAGTTAATAGAAAAACTTGGAAGCAAGTTTGCCAAAAATTAAAGAGAAAGACGCATATAAACTCAAGGTTAAAAGGTGGCATATGAAGGGAGAAAAAAAAAAAAACCTGGTTCTAAGCAAATAGACCCTGGTTCTAAGCAAATAGACTAGCAAATAGACTAACTAATTTCAAAAAGTTAAATGACAATTTTTTTAAACATGTTATTCACGAAATATCAAAACACGCAAAAAAAATAGTATTTATCCCTATCATAACGACAAAAATCCATTTGAAGAAAGGTTCCAACAGATCCGTACCAGAACCAACATCTAGCGCTCGCATTCCAGGTTGCAGATGCTGCTTCAACAGTTCTAGACAAGTTGCATGCATGTGAGGAGCAGATATAGTTGCATTGAAACCAATTTGCATAGGACTATCAACATAAGCTGGAGTGCCACTTTGTACAAAAACGCCCCTATCAATTCTTTCCATCACTTCTGCCACCTCCTTAGACTTGATTACACCATAACGCTCCAAACTTTCCACCATTTTTTTGTTCTTGTCAACCAATCCACCGGTCCAGAAATTCTGACAGTAATGAGAGAAACCCATTATGTTGGTAATCCTTGAATAACAAACTACGGATAGTGTACCACAAATAGGAGAATTGATTTCTCTTCACTGGACTATCTTCATGGGGGGTCATGTACATATATACCACGCAATTCTTATGTATTTACATATCTAATACCTATACATATATATTTACATGCATATCACTCAAATCTTTGACATATCACCATCATTGCCTTTTTAAAAGTGAAATAAACATTTTCATGCATAAGTTTGACACTGTGTTGTAGCTGTAAATATCAAACTTTGGGTGTTAGATATGTAAATACCTAAGAATTGTGTGTTGTTTATGTAAATTTCCCTCTTATTAATTTAAACATTCAAAAATGTGCTCCAAACTTTTTACAATTCCTCCATCTTCATTTCTTTGCATGTGAAAGTTACCTATCATTCAACAAACACTAAATTCTGTAGGATCTTGATAATTAACTTCATTTATTGGAAATTTTACTTGAAGAGAAGCATTTCTACAAAAGAGTAATAATTTTACTGGCCAATTACATAAGTAACCTCCAAATATTCACTACTTGAAAAAATAAAAAGAACACCTTTCCACCTCCAATCTTCAAATTCTTACCCAGAAACCAAAATTCACAGCAAATTCCCAGCCCTTGGATTGTGGCACACACAAATACATGGGTCCAATATATAAAAAAGGGTCCTAAACAATATTTTAGTAAACATGTAAGATTTGAGTATTAAATATTGATTTTAAAAAAACCATGTCAAAAGAAAAACAAAAATAAAATATGAATAGCAACAATCATTGAACAAGCACGAATAAGAATTGGTGATCTGAAACATCAAACCAACAAGACCTAGAAACTGGAAAGGTACTCTTCAGCTAAACCAGCAAATAACCATCATATATTGGAACAATCCCCACAATAGGCTAACATCCTACAAAACTATTCAATGAAATTTAAAAAAAAGTAAGTTGAAACCATTAATTCTCATTTACCATAGTTCCTGCAAGTCTTGCCAGAGTTCAAAAAAGATAAGAATGCTTCTTTAACTCAACCGAACACCTCATTTTAAAATGAAAAAAGTTCAGAGAACTTGATTCAGATCATGCCCAGTTTTGCACTAATCTTCAAAGATGCTTCTAGATTTAAAACACCATACAGAAGCTTCAATAAAATCAATTGACAACCAACGAACAGAATCAGTATACAGAGCAAATATCATCTCCCCTGCAAACTAATTTTTATTTCCTGAACCGGAGAAGATGTACGCCAATCCAAAAGAGAAAAAAATCCGACGCCCTTATATCCAAGTCTCCTATCAATCTGCCACAATTTCCAACAGAAAATCGAACCCCCAATTCACAGCCAGATAGAGAAATGAATCCTAAGGAAGAAGATCAAAGAAAGCACGGAATGAACTGAACCCTAAAGTTTGATCACAAAAACTAAAACGGCGTGGGAATGCATATAAACTTACTCGAAAGAGACGATTAAAGAGTAGTGATTGGAGTACCTCCATTTTGGTGAGGGAATGCAAGTCGGATAGGAGGCTGAAGAGCTTGACGGGGCTGGAGGGGGAATGGGGCAACTGAATCTTTCGCAGTGGATTACGCAGCGGAATGACGAAGCGTGAGCCCAACGCAACAGAATGCATCACTCCATTCACATACCTGACTGGACTGGTATTATGTTGGAAAATTTACATCCATACCATTCAATTCATATATTTTACAAATCTGACCCCTAAACTTCAATTGCATGTATATATTGTTGGATCCTGAGTTTACTTCCGTGAACACATCTAAGAGTTTGAGCCAGGAGAAAGAGGGATAGAAAGAGAGATATTAGGCCAATTTCTGTCTCCTATTTATAGAGGCGTTATTTATATAATTACAGGAAAAAATGAACGGTTATGAAAACTATTCTTAATACAATTAATTGTGTTTATCTTATACCAAATATGTTTTATTTGAATTTAAATATTATGGTAATCCGACCAGATGACATGCTTTAATTCAGCCGATCGGGACGACCGGTTGGATTGTGGTCGAGCCGGTCGAAGAAAAGAATCGGTCGCTCTTGTAGGCGATCGAGATTGTATCTGTGGTCCGTTCTATAATAAAGCAAGATTATAATTTTTTTTTAATTATCAATTAATCTAATAGAGCCTGGTATGGGCAATTCTTAAGTAATACTTTAAATCTCTCTCAAGCTTCATAGATTGACCGACTCTCTAACTATGCATACCACAAGTTATATGTGTGTGTCAAACACTTCATCAATATGCATGATTTCAATTTTGGAAATAGCCTATATCAAAATGTTATATATATATATATATA